ACACACACACACACACACACACACACACATAACGTGTGTGTAGTTAGAGGACAGTGAAGCGCTCTGCAGGCTGTCAGATGTTCAGCAGTTTGCAACAGAACTCATGTTTACAAACAGACTGGATTTAAAATAAATAAAAATAGAATCAACCATCAGAAGAAGATAAACAACAACAACAACAACAACAACAACAACAACAACACACATGAAGCTGTGTTCAGGCGCCGCTGCAGCTCACCTGGATGAGCAGGTGTCCAGGTCCAGGCCGCTGGAGGTCATGGTCCTGTTCTGCTCCAGTCTCTGTGTGAGCCGATCGTCATCATCCATCGTCTGCTTCATCCACCTGGACAGGTAAGCAGCCTATCACAGGGCACAACCAGCACACTGACTGTCCAGGTGGACCAGGTGAGGGTTCAGGTCTACAGATGATGGATGATGGTAAGTCAGTCTGCTGTTTGTGGCCCCACCGCGCCCCCTGCTGGTGTGACGTCGCCACAGCACGGGACCACGCGAGAAGGAAGAAGAAGGGCGACGTTGCTGACAACATGGCGACGCGTCGCTCGTTGCTGCTTCTCTCCTTCCGTCAGCGGCAACAGACAACAAAGTTGCTCCTCTCCGCGTCGCCGTGTTGGAAACAACGTCGCCCCTCTTCTCGCGCGGCTCCGAGCTGTGGTCGACGTGTGATGACGTCACACCGCCCCCTGCCGGTGGCGCAGACGTCGCGCGCTCTCGTGCTGATTCCTCGCGTCACGCTCGTGCGGAACCGGGCGCGGTGGAGTTTCGGTGAAAATGTCGGTGTTTCATGACGAAGTGGAGATCGAGGACTTCGAGTACGACGAGGACGCGGAGACGTTCTACTTCCCGTGTCCCTGCGGGGACCGGTTCGCCATCACGAAGGTGGGCCCTCAGAGCTAACGGCTAACAGCTAACTAGCGCAGCCACTTCACACCAAACTCCGTTTTAAATTCTCTTATTTTGAAATCCCCAAACCGCTGCTAATATTATAAAGCGTCATGAAAACATATTTAGCTCCCTGTGGACCAGTGGAGCCTCCTGATGAGTTCGGCACCAGTAAATGGATCAGTCATGTTCAAACATTTCACTTTTTAACTCGAGTTCTGAAACGTTCCTGTTCAAGTTTCCGCAGTACCGGGACGTAAAATCTGTTGTTTCCTGAAGGGAGTTTGGTGTGAAGTTTAGACAGGTTTCTACGTCCAACAGGTTTAACAAAGTGAACTCACAGCTCGTTTAGAAGTCAGCTAGTTTAAGATTCTTCCTTCAGAGACAGTTTTAGGTTGTGGACAGACATGTTGAACAGTTTTCACTCCAAATCAAAGCCTGCTGACTAATCCTGAGGTTTAATGACCAGTGGTTCTGATGGACTGGACTTTTTATTAAAGGTTATAGAGAAAGAAGACATCCTGACAGCGATGTACAGCTTTAACATCTTTCAGCAGGTTGTTCTCCATCAGAACCTCAGTGTTCATCAATTAATTTCACCTTTAATGATTAATTAAATGATTTATTTCCACCGTCTCACGTTGACATTATCATGAACGTCTTTTAGCTCTTCAGCTGCACACGAACACGTCAGTCAGTGTTTAAGAGGCTGGAATCATCAATAACATCTATTGATTACATCCATCACATCAAAGTGTGTTCTAGATCAGCTGTTGGCTGGTTCTGGTTCTGGTTCATATCAGATGATCGGACGGCTCTGACGATCCTGTAAAACTCCATTTTTAATCCTGAGCTGTGCTTGTTGTTCAGGAGGACCTGGAGAATGGAGAGGAGGTGGCCACGTGTCCGAGCTGCTCGCTCATCGTCAGAGTCATCTACGATCAGGTATCAATACGTCTGATCAGGTATCAATACGTCCACGATCAGGTATCAGTACGTCTACGATCAGGTATCAATACGTCTGATCAGGTATCA